GAGACGGTGGGCGAGGGGATGAGCACGCAGGTGCCATTGTCCAGGCGCTTGCCATTGGGGCAGGTGCATACGGGGCCGCTGGGGCTGAGCAGGCAGAGCCACTCGCACTTCTTGCGGTCGCAGGGATTGGTCACTGACGGGGCGAGAGGCGGCGTGAGCCCCCGATCCGCGGGAGCCCCCGGTGCCCCATCCCCACGCTGGGCTGCCCAGCCCGGCGCTGGCACCAACCCTCTGGCTGCTTGTACTGGTGGTAGAGCACCACGTCGGTGGCGTGGTTGAGGCCGGACGTCAGGTTGGTGACGGACTTGTGCCCAAACTTGTGGATCTTGAAGATGCGGTTGTTGATGTAGGTGACGCCATAGATGTAGTCCTCGAAGATGTCGATGCTGAAGGGGTGGCTCAGCCCTACGGCAGCCGCGGGGGACACGGGCAGCTCAGCGCATGCACCGGGGCGGCCGGCCTGAGGCAGTGCCAGCAGCACTGGCAAGGGCAACCCACTGTCCCCTCGCTGCTGTCCCTTGGGCATCTCCAACCTGGGGTCTGCAGTGCCCAGGGGCACCGTGCGGAAGGCCCCGTCCCGCAGACCCTGTACCCCCACCCCGTGCTGGGGGCTCCTGGGGCCCCACTCACCCTTCTTGTTGTCGATGGCCACGACGGGGTCGGTGCCATTGAGCCGGATGCTGCCAATGACGGAGAGTTTGGCGTCGGCCCAGTAGAGCCGCTCATTGTGATAGTCCACGGCCAGCCCTGCGGCGCAGACACGCGATGAGGCTCCCGCCTGCGTGTGGGCCCTTCCCGCCGCCCCGCCGGGGCCTCTGCTCACCCGTGGGCCACTGGATGTTGTCCTGCACCAGCGTCTCCCGCAACGTCCCGTCCATGGCGGCCGTCTCGATCTTGGGGTGGTTGCCCCAGTCCGACCAGTACATCGTCCTGCCGAGGGGCCGCGGTCAGGACCGGTTGGGGGGCACAGCAGGGTGGGCCCCTCGGAACAGGGACCCTCACCCCTTCTCCCAGGCAGCCTGGAGTTACGGCCCAAGGGGAACATGGCTCCGGCAACGCCAGCGCCAGAGGCCAGGGAAGGGCTGGGGCAGGAGGAGCAGGGGGAGGGCTGGGTGGAGGGGGACAGCGAGGCCTTGGGTCTCACCCTCTCAGCGGGTCGACAACAATGGCGTGGGGCTCATCGATCATGCCCGAGATCAGCGTCTTGCGGTTCTCGCCCTTCATCTGCGCCACCTCGATGACATCCCGTCCAGAGTCGGTCCAGTAGATGTTCCCGGCCACCCAGTCGATAGCGATGCCCCGAGGCATCTTCAGCCCTGAGATCTGGGAAGAGCAGAGGAAAGGGGGCGGTCAGGGGGAGAAGGCTGCGGCGCCAGCCCGGCACCTCCGCCACGGCCCCGGCCGGGCTCACGTTGAGGGGGGTAACGCCGCCGTCGATCTGGCGCCGGTTGCGGTTGGAGGCGGTGGAGGCGGCGGAGGAGGCGGGCAGCTCGCGGTACGAGATCCTGCCCGTGTGCCAGTTGGTCCAGTAGATCTTGTTGCCCTTCACGTAGATGTCCATGGCGTCGATGCGCACGTTCTCGTCGCCCTGGAAGGCCGGCTCGTAGGCGGAGTTGGGGTTGAAGGGGTACATGCTGCGGATCTTGTTGTCATCGGCGATGTACAGGATCTGGTGCTCGGAGCCTGCAAAACAGCAGCATTAGCAGCGCCAGGAGCCCCCGTGGCACCCCGGGCACCCTCCGAGCAGTGCCAAGTGCCTCCGCATTCCCAGCGCGCCAAGGACAGGCGCCCTGGCCACCCGCACAAGGCAAAGAGCACGGTGGGGAGGAGCGGGACGTGGCCGGGCCGGTGTCCCCTGCTCGGCGCCGGTGCCCCCCGCACGGCGCCGGCCCTCCTGACCTTCGGCCTTGCACATGTTGTCCGTCTTCATGAAGTTCTTGGCGCAGCTGCACACGTGGGAGCCCTTGGTGTTGTTGCAGAGCTGCGAGCAGGTGCCGAAGCGCAGGCACTCGTTGACATCTGGGCAGAGAGGATGGGAGCTACTGGGGAGGTTGGGCGGGGGCTGCAACCACC